ATGTACATGTGGCTGAGAGCCAACATTGCTGGCCGGCGTCCCTGTTCAATACTAACTGCCTCAAGGCCATGCAACTTTGCAGTTTAACACCATCGGGACGGAAAAGCTCATTCGAATGGGATGAAGTCACTTTTTGGACGAAAACCAGAACATAAAGTGATATCGCGTGACGGGGAATATGGCCAACGTCCCTCTCCATCTCAATCGATGACAGCCCCTCCCGCAGCTCTCGTTCTCGCGCGTCAGTACTCCTATAGTTTTTCCTGCAGTTGCCGCTGATTGGATTAGCCGACTTGTCGTTATCACCCCTTTATCCAAACCAACCGCAGAATGTTGTAGCGCGGCAAGTTTCTCATTCTCTTTTTTTGTAACACATCTCCAAATTCGTGATGTTTAGGACATATCTCTCATACTTGTCTCATTTTTGATGGCCTGTGCATACTTCCAAGTCTGCCAAATGATCATACTCAGTCACTTTCCCTTGCGGAGTCTTTTCAAGACGTGTTCCGTTATTTAGTCCGTGTTTGCCAAACGTCTTTGACCGCTAAAACAGCGAGGTATTCCTGACTCGCTGACCCACAGACATTTGACCAACTTCCACTTGCACACACATGCGCCCAAATAGTCGCCACTTGAACACGCCACCTCTCGGCCGATTCTGCATTGGTCACTTCATACGAAACTTCTCGGGTAATGCAGCACACACCAACCGGACACCACTTGAATTTGCTGCACAAACATATTAAATCATTTGCCACTAATATTTTAGCCTATTTCAGGTGCGACTGCACGCAGTCACCATTAGCCTCATCAATGGCGACTGCTGCCTGAGACATCAGCTCCGGGGTCTGGGCAAAAAATCCCATCCATGGTAGCCTTCTGTCTTCTCCTACAACTTGGGATTTGGGCTGATGATTGTAGTGGCGTGAATATTAATACGGCTTAGAGGACACGGGAATTGCATGCACTAATGTTCTACGTACCCCACGCTTTTTGCTGTAATTACGCTTCAGGTTTGCAGCGCCGCTTCTTGACTGTAGGCATAAATAGAGTGAGCTTTAGTACTGGATGCAAAGGCTATCTCAGCAAACGTTCCTGCAAGCGTTTTGCCCCTGCTGATCGTGGCGCTGCCATCTAATTACCAAGAGTCCATCAATGTTAGAGTAGGAGCAGTGTACTTGAATGTTTGCATATAAATAGTTGATTCAATTTTTATAGTCTTCTGCCCAATATTGCGGCAGATTGACCTGAAGCTGACGGGTCTGTAGTTGGTCGTAAGTGTAAATAAATAGATAACCGAATTCTATATTCTAGGCACGGAGGGCCTCATAATTGCAAACTTAGTGCTGTGGTAAAAATCAGTAAAAAGTAAATAAATGCTGCCCTTTGTGAGCAACCACATAGGCAGAGAGAGTGTTTAGTATGGTTGGCAGATACTTTCATCTCCGCCAGCATATAGTCGTTTTAAAATAATAGTCAAAACACTCAGAAACGTATGGTGAACTAAGGAGGAAACAGTATACAAATTAAACTTTTGTGAGTTGGTGTAAAGAAAATAAATAAATTTTACATTTTAGACACGGAGGGTCTCGTCATTTTATCTGCTTGCATTTTTAAATAGTCGTACCGTCAATCGCCTGAATATACTGGCGCAGCTCGACCACACCCAGCTCACCAGTCATCAAGATGTCTTTTTATTTCTTCCACTGGCGCGCACAAGATAGATGATAGATATATAGGTATCATCAGTTTTTCTCAGTAAACGCATTAACAATCTGGAATAAGCTGCAGAGAAGTATGTAAATGCAGCAAGGCTATCCTTTGTTTAAGAGAGCTGTCACCAGTTTCCTATATTCAGGACACACTTCACGAATTTTGGATGCTGACTCTGAAATCTCTTTTCGACTTCAACCGTTTCTCGTCCCCATTTCCAATCATTCAAGGATTTGCAGTTCATTCCCCCGAAAATCACTAGAGGAAACTGTCAGGAGTCTTTTTCACTGGCAGCTTACCCTCTACTATACACTTCTGTTGAACTTGGCTGTAAAATGACAATGAAGTAAATTAAATTGCATATAATTCCACTGAATACCAGATGCTTTGATGTTACCCTGGAGAACCATATGAGATTGGGTGGTAATTGAGGACAGGTACACGAATTCATGCATTTCTCGGCGAGGAGTGTATGGTCACGGCTTCTAGGGGCTGATAACTCTATGCCTCATAGTTAAGTAAATAATCTACACAGCTTTTTACTATTAGCTCTCCTCAAGCACACGGTTAAGCTGGTTGTAATTTACAAAAACGGATCCACCCTCACGATTCTGCATGTAATAAGCGCACGGGGTCTGTTACCTGCACTTAACCCAAAAAACTCCGAGCGCAGGACTTGTTCAAACCCCTTGAATACTTTCCAGGGTTGAAAATGCGGTCACGCAGGTATTAATCCACAGTTGCCGCGCTCTAAGAGCGCACACAAACTAGCTACGGAGTAGTACTTAAAACAGCCCACTATTTACGGATAGAAAGATTCTAACACACAAAATCCTCACCTGGGCAACAAATTCCTTATTCAATAAATAACTATATTCCACATAGAAATAAAGAGAAAGCTTAGACGAGAGTGTCCGACAACTTTGATTGGCATCGTGCACAGGAACACTGTTTTACATCGAACTTGTAAAGGTTTTGCCCATTTCGTATGTTCGAAATTTAAGCTGACGTCAAAAATTTACTTCATCTAATTGTTCTGTGCCAATTCCTAAGTTTTTCGTGATTCAGACTAATATACAGCAAGCGCTTAGATTTTCCATGTTTCGTTGTGTAGTGTCATGTTCTACCTCATGTTATATTTCGGTCCTTCATAATAGATTAAATTCTGAATTCCTTCCTGCTCCTGGGTAAGTTTGGATATTCACGCTTCCCTCTGTGCACCGTTCCGCAACGAACTCTCCCGATTTTGAATTTTTGATAAATACTCAATTTTCAGCACAATTCCTATATCCTCAGAAATCTTTGAAAGGACCCTCTCTTTCTGCATTCTAAGGGATTGTGTATAATCTCATGCTTTCTGGATCATCAGTGATGACATTTATGGGCCATATTATAATTTTGTAATGCTCTTCCTGTCACTACTAGGGATTAAACTTTCAGTTGTCATTATGAAATTCCTCCAAGTGATCTGTGCTGTGCATAATCTATGACCTCATGAAGATCATAATCCATGGTGAAATTTTCAGAGAAATACCCGATAGCACATCTATTGCTCCACTTTATTTCCCATATGCCACAAATGCGCTACGTATATGACCTTGACCTTGTTTGTTTTCGTTGTCTTGACTAAAATGCGAGAAGGTGGAAATACGACAGTAGAGGCTAGTCTACTGCGGTCAAACGAAAGAGAGCACTTTTGTTTTTCATCTCTATCACTACCCTCAAGTACATTAACAGATGTGAATGCCTTATTAAACTTTCCACATATCACGGATTTGGATCTCTCGAATAATGATCTCGAGGAATTGCCGTTACTGTTCTCGTTTAAATTTCTTAAGACGTTGAACTTATGCAACAATCGTCTTGAGCACCTTCCACCTATTTCGAATTGCACTGAGCTTATAAAATTAGATCTGAGTGGAAATATCTTGACCGATATGTCCACTACTGGTGTACTACCGGAATTGCGGGAGTTGTATTTGCAATGTAATTGCATTTCTACAGTTGACGGTAAGCTTGCCGGTACAACAGCGTATGCGTCATCTGAGCCTCGAAATGCTTTTACGATAAACACGCATTTAATTACAAGTTGACCAATACTGCTGTCGAAGTGCGTTTTTTATTATAAATTTATAAGAAAGAATCAAAATGCTTTACCACCGTACTCCCCTGCATTCCCCCGGATGTCGACGGGGTATCCGCGGATTGTGTTGGCGGGTAACTTATCCAAACAAGCCAAAAGTAGATAGTAATTTTCGGCGCTAAACATGCAGTTCATCTAACTTTATCTGAAGAAGATAAAGGTGTGTTCCATTGAACTCTCTATTTGTCTACATGCGTGTTGAGATATCAAAAATAATACATCAACTTAGTAGAGATGTCAAATTACAAAAGCGCATGAGGTGAAGCAATAGGAAAAGGTAAGGTTGGGTAAAATCACATTGTGATTTTTAGGAGAAAGACCTGTTACTTCTGGGAGGGTAGTATGCTAGATCGAAACGGGAAGGGCATCACAGAAGTCATGGGGATCATCACCGAAATGTGTGAGATGTGGTCAGATACGATTTAGAAGTTCTTGATTTGCGCTTCATTGAAATAAATAGGTCGAATTTTGCAATTGCTTCACCACATATGCTGCACGCAGTACTTGAAGCCGAGGCTTACCGGTAAATTACTATTTTTACAGGGTACTGGGATATAAAACTGTAATTGCCCATTACAGAATGTTCAACCGGGTCTTAAACTCTAGGAAGAGTTTCTATATCAAAAATTTTGTAATGGAGTTGCTTAATACTTCGTAACAACATTTATCGGATTGGTCTTATCTTTTTTCTTCACATTATGTTTGTTTCATGTTTCATGTTTCATCAATAGAGGGTAGGGAACGGATCCGTGTAA